TTCAATTTGTAACTTCATTTTACGTAATCTATGTTGACAATCTGATTGCTTAACTTGTTTATACCTGTTTTATTAATTTTGAAAACACTAAACATTTACATTCAATTACTTAATCTCAAACCCACCAAATACTTATTCTTAAATAGCGAACTATTACTAATCAGCAACAACGTAGAACTTCGTACGTACGTACATCAGTTCGAGTTGCCATACCACATTAGCATAGAGATATAGTTCTCGATTTAAATCCCATAGTGGTAGAACTAATAAGAGTATAAGCAGTAATCGGAAAGATTAGGGTTTGAAGATGTTATTTAAAGAGTATAATCCAGTGACATAAATTTGGAAAGGGAGAAAAAGGGACACGAAGAATTCAGAAGATTAGAATTTGAGAGTACATAAAGAGTAGATTCACCTGCAGTATTGCAAATGATTTTGAGCCATGTCATTCAAGGTTTCGAATCATCGGTTGCTATCGTCTCGTGGATCCCAACCAGGTAGTCTACACCTACCAACATGGCTCAGTCCAATTGTCAATGACTTCATGGATTTGGGTCATGTTTTGGTCTAGCCGCCCCTAGCCTCCTTCCAGCCCTACTCTTGCACCATAAAACATCGCTCGTCGAGGTAGTCGGTGGTTGGGTATACATAACACATATCCCAGCCTTCTCAACTGATGAAGTGAACTGTTATATCTAACCAACTATGTATTCTTCACTTCAGATCTAATTTTACATCTGAGTTTCTAACTGGTTACTATTCATAAGAAATACGAAAGAACATTGTTGAGTTGACCAGTCATCATTTATTAGACACTAGTTTTATTACTAACTTTAAATGTATATACAAAGCAATGAATCAACTAATTGAAAATAAATACTTCTTTCTAGGAATTGTGTTTTTCCAATATAAGGAAATCTGAGTTAACTTTCCCCCTCCTTCGAAACCATTAGAATTACTATTACTACTACTACTTATGTTCAACCCACTCTCTCTTCACAACCCTTAAATCATTCATAGATATAGAAAAGTTAGAATTAAAAAAAAAGAAGAATACATATATATATTCTGACTAAAGTAATGCAATTTAATAATGATACAATAAATTAGAAATGTGCAGATTTAAAGTATTATACACTTTAATAGTTTTCATTAAATTACACTAATCGTGGTAGTAGTTGGTGGTCATTATTAATGTGTATGTGTTATTCATGAATATTCTACAAAAAATTCAGTAATAATGATGATATAAAAATAACAAAATTGTTTTTAGCCATGTATGAAAAATCACCATAATAATGGTGAATCAACTACAGTTTTCACACAGACAAATAGATATGTGCATATACAATTCCTCTGTATTTTAAAATAGAAAAAAAAATAGCAAGACATGAAAAGTTTGTTTTTTTTTGAGTATATTTTACTGCACATATAAATGGGGGAAACCAAAATTCCTGTACAAATCCAATTGGTATTACATACCTACTAAGGAGCATACAATTTTTTATTGGCTACAAATACATATAAGACGTAAAATGGAATATCATCATTCAGTAATGAATGCTACTTTGTTGTTGTTGTTGTTGTAAATATCTCTATATATCAATAAATCATCATTATCATCAAGCAATGATAATTATCCGGGAAAAGATAAAGAACAAATATCAATTCATATACACGGTGAAATGCCATACACATAATAGGAAAATGTTTTCATCCATAAAATAGGTGAGTATGAAAAGAAGGGAAACAAATACAAAGGGAAAGAGAAAAGAAAAACCATCTGATTTTTTAAAATGTGGAATTATAAAAGAAAAACACAAATTGATGGTTGTCCTGATCCATACAAAAGTTGAGGGATGGAAACTAAAAAGTTTAAAAAGAACATAATTTATAGTATAAAATTAGGGCATGATTAACAATATAAACATTGTTACAACAGAGTGCGATGATCGAGAAAGTAGACTTAATTTTTGAGCGACCTTACGAAGAATTATAGTAGTTCTATATTCCTTGTATTGTATACTTCAGTGTGGCCCACAAACTATTATTATGTGTTTTTATTGTCCTTAAGTTATTTTAAAGATTTATTATTACAGTACAATATATAGCGTGGTTATATACGCACACAGTGATTTACTATACACGTTTCTATGTGGTCAGAAATGTACTATACATTACTATATACGTTTTTAATCACATAGATCCTGCACAATAGAGAATTAATCTGATTCTTAACTTTGTCACCTGATTATACACAGGGTTGGAAGGAGCTCAAGGACCAAAAGACATTAAGGTCTCCGTCTCTGTACATCAGTTAGTCACAATGTTGTCACTGATAAGCTAAATCATTGGTCTAACAGCAAAAATGAATGTCTACCCCTTATAAAGCGTAAATTATCTACACAGAGACAGAACAAAGAAGGGATTTGTTTATTTTTTCGATGATATAACAAATATCTGCAATAGTCAAAGGTGTGAACTTAAGAAAATCCAAGTAGTCCTAGCACTCGAAAAGTTCACACCACCTAGTAGGTTGAGTACGACCTTGAATATCAATCATCTAACACACAATCCATTAAAAAAGTGGCACAGGCGAACACTTAACCTCTAGACCACAGTGTCGATGTCTAAGACCAAAATCTTGAGCAACCCTTGATCCAACGCCAGCGGGGATATCTGTTGTGATTCCAAATACCACAGTCTCCAAAAATCCTCTATACTCATAACAATCGGGTACTCACTAGTAGCTAGCTTCAAGATATAACTCCTGGAGTTCTAGTGAGAAGCCGTGACCAGTGTATTCTAATCCGTATTGAGTGTGAGACAGATATATATTCACCCCAAACAATGGATGAAGGGTTGTGCAAGATCATGGACCAATCGAAGTTGAACATTAACACCAGTGGATCCCGGCTCAGTGGTCTAAAGATTAAATATGCGCGTACGAACCCGAAAATCCTAGGTTCGAGCACCATGTGTGGGATCATGCATGCACACTGCTGAGGAGTTCCATACTAGGACAAAATGGCAGTGTACTTAGGTTTTCAATGGTGCTTTAGTTTAGATCGATCGATGATTTCAACTGTGAAAAAACTTTTCTCTAGCGATAAGCCCAAACTTATTTTTCTGTAATTCGTATCTTTACGTAACTTTTGCTATTTTAAAATCAATTATCACTTGTAGTTTATTTTTCTGCTCCAAGGTCACAACAAATCGTTACTAAATCAACGGAGTCCTTCCACCTTAATTTAGTCATTTGCGTTGCCGACTTCCTCCAGGTTCCATCGTTGAGGAGATTTGTGTGTGTGTATGTGCCGATTGCTGAGTTCGAGAAAGATTTCGTCAGTATTGAAATAGTCAATTATTGTAGACTAAACCGAAACAAAGTTGTAATTATTTACCGACATTTAACATTTCAAACAAGTAAATAATATTTATAAAAAGTTTAAATGAAAGATTATTGAAGTTAGAGGAAGACGTTTTATGTATCTTTTATACAAATACTTTGAGGGAGTGATTACGTAGCGATACTACTAGACATTGTACAAGTCATAGTCTTACTAAAATGTTTTGAATATATAGACATTCTAATATTCAAAGAATGCCGCGACTCATGAAAGAATTACTTAAATATTAATTCAGTGTAACTTCGTAGCCAGATATAAGTTCGTGTATATTTGACTGAGTTATACTATTAGTTTGATGTTGAATATTTTGGGACCAAAGTTCTAGAACAGCAACTTAATCGCTAAACATGTAGTGTTTGAAACCATGAATTCACTGTGTCAATAATCACCTGAGCAGTTGTTTAATAAAAGTATTAGTATTAGTAATACTGAACATAGGATCTACCTGACTCTTCTGCAAAGATATGAGACATAACTACCTACAATATAATGTGGAAGGGTTGATCGTGTTTTGTTGAAGAAAATTAACTAGAAGACTATTAGGTTATATAATGATTTCTATGGTATAAGAAATTTATCTAGACTTAATAAGTTACGTAAGTGTTGTATTTTCTAATAGAAACATTAGTTAGATGAAAAACTTGGAGATTAACGGTTCATATAACAATACAAATTTACAAAACCATTAACTTGATAGTCCAAAGTGTACAAGGACAGTGGATGGGTGGGGACTTACTGGTTGGTCTGGTTCTTTTAATGGACAGCATCAATTAAACAATTTCCTACTTCAGTACTATTTTTATGCTCATTATCTTGGTATTAAGTTGAATTTATTTTTATAAATTTGCTAAGTTTTAAATCTTCGAGAAAAATGTGTTAAGTTCTATGAACCAGCACGGATTACATAGTATTAAATGATACAAACTATTTCCCTTATAATTGGCAGTGAAATTAATCGAAGAATAGATAAACAGAGATGAAATCCCATTCATCAAGGTAGCAAGTGTTAACACATCATTGAATGTGCACTCATCACGACCATATATACATCTGGATTTTCATGCTAGTACTGATGAAAAAGAAACACTATGTGATATAAACATCTTGATTTCTAAACTACATGGCCTTACAATTAAAAAACGGTTAGATTTTAGTAAAATCCTTTTGTTTGAAATAATTCATAGTTGAATTCATGAGTCAACTGAAGTTAGACCACCATGAAAAACCTGGAAGCACTGGACGGCCGTTTCGTCCTATCACGGGAAGCCTCAGCAGTGAGCGACCACGATCCCGCCATGCAAGATTCGAATGCAGGACCTGTTAGTTTTGCGCGTGGACGCTTAACCTCTACATCACTACTGTGGAGTCCCATACTAAAATTGAACGATTGTTTAGTGCTTCCGGGTTTTTCATGATGGTCTAACTTCAATTGACTCATGAATTCAACTATAAAATTACTAAAACTCTCCACAAAACCCCTTTCTGAAATCATCTATCAAAAAAATTATAGAGATCGTTAGTTTATAAAGAAAAAATAATTGAATTAGAATACTTAAATAAATTTGTTTGCCAACTTACCAATTACATACATTACGTTAAACGTTGTTTTTTAACTGAAGGTTCCATATTACATAAATCATCATTTAAATTAATTGATTCTGGAATAAAATTATTAGAATTTGTATGATTCATATTTATAATATTGTTATTATTATTATGATGATGATGATCATTATTATTATTATTATTATCAAGACCGTATAATTCAACTACACGTGAAGCAGCTTCAGCTGCTGCACCAGCTGGTCCAGTACAATTGAAAGCACCAGGAAAATCACTTCCAACAGCTACATCAACTTTTGGTACATAAATTATTGAATTCATTGATCTAGCAGCAGCAGCTTGTCGTGCTGCTCTATCACTTGGACTCATTAATGCATCACCAAACATTGTACTAATACGACCACGTGGTTTCAATTCAAGATACTAAAAGGATTTGATGAAAAAAGGAACAAAAAAAGAAATAGAAACTAAGTGATGATAAAAGGAAGAGGTGTTGATAAACAAATCATTGTATATAATAATTATCGGCTTAAATCGCGTTGGTGGATAACGGAATTAAATAAGTCAAATACGATACTGGATTTCTGAATACGTATATTTCGTACACTCATTGACCTGGACGTAATGAGAAAAAATGACGAGCAGTGAAGGCGAGTGAGCCGACTCGATTTAGCCAAGTGTGAATAAATATTTATAGTCGAACAAAAGTTACAGACATATGATGAGTAGGATAGGATGTACACACACACATACGCTCATATAAAAACAGTCACGGTTGATAAGTGAATAATTACCAAGGTTAAAATGTGACTCAAGAAGAATGAATAAATTGTCTGGATACTAGAATAACCCAAAAAACAGATAATATTAACAGATCAAGAAAATAAAACTTTGATATTTTGATTTTCTGGAATGTATAGTTTTCTACCATGGAGTGAGTTCATGTACTAATGTTTGAGAAGTATCAACAATTAAAAATAAATCAACATAAATTTAACCAAGTAAATGTGAAAAAAATATATAGGAAAGAATAAATTCTACACATAACACTTAAGGCGTTTTTGTATTCTGATGACTATGAATTTTGAATGGATTGAACTACACACCAACGAATTTTAACCTCATTCAATACAATTTACTCATTTCTGTGTAGATTTTGAGAAGATATAGTAGAGATTTATTAAAAAAACTAACTAATGCCAACTCATTACGTCATATTTACAATCACACAAGTTGACTATAAATATGATTAAAAGCAATATATTGACTTATTAACCAATTTCTTTCAGCCTTGAGTATTTATATAGCTATGACCAGTGGTGTTCAGTATGTATCGGGTGAGACAATTATCCACTGCAGACAATGGATGACGGTCACACGATACCGTGAATTGATTGGATTTAAAGATTAGGCATTCGCGTGCAAAAACGAAGGTCCTAGGTTAGATTTCCGCATAGACTCATCGATTTGCACTGCTGAGGAGACGGCTATCAAATGTTTCCACGTTCCGAGTGTTGGTCTAGCTAAAATAAGATTGAAACTATGAAAACCTAAACAGAAGTTATAGGGTTTATCATCATACTTCATTCTTCGATTTCATGAATTTGCTTTGACAAAACACAAGCCGACATAGAAATGTTTGCCGATATATATAACCAGACACAACTCAACAGCTCTAATATGCAAATAATCACTTTACAAGTGAATGCAATATATTGTACTATACTATTATTTCACTTAAGTACTCAACCGAAATACACTTACATTTCCTTCTTCATCACGATGTTTCTCATGAAATTTCAAATGAACATTCAGATTTGATTTTTTGTTAAAACGCTTTCTGCATATATGACATTCAAATGGTTGTTCACCACGATGTATTCGAAGATGTTCATTGTAATAGGCAGCTTTAGTAAATCGTTTATTGCAATATTCACATTCAAAACGTGCTTCTTTATGTATTAACATATGCATGCCAATTTGTGTAACAATCTATAAAAGATACAAATAGATTTCTTCTGTGAAAGAATGGTTAATCTATATGAACGAAATAACCAAGATAAAACATTTCTCTATTTATCTAGAATTCTCATCGGTCAAACTTTAAGGAATTTTTTAGACAAATTATCACTAAATTACATAAAATTAACTTGGATAGAATTTGATGTTGTTGTTCAAAAAGAAAACGAATGCTTCGTTAGTAAACCATTAATTACGTATGAAGTACAAATCTTCGCCATCATTTTAAAATCGTACAAGCATACGATACATGTTTCTGTCAATCATGATTACTTTTTAAAAAGCCTAATCATAATGATACACTGATCATTGTATTTATACTATATGTAAGAAAAGAACAACGTTCTAGTTATTGTTTATGGGCACCGAGGAATAAATAATTTAAACACTGATTTGTACACTTAGATTGATAATATCAAACTTTCTGATTCCATGTAATGAATCAACTTGTTTTGATAAAATCTGTAAAATAGTAAGTAATTTGATACCGTTATAATGATTATTATTATTATTTGAACACATAGATATTGGTACAAGAGAGCGCCAATATATATGCGCCACACAAAACAATGAGAATTCGAAGAGAAAAAAAAGTAAGGAGCGTAAAAAGGGAACAACAACGAGGAGATTGGTGTAAGGTAGTGTAGTAATAATGAGGGAACGGAAATGTACAATCAGAAGAAATCTTTCAGTTAAGGAAGAAACAACCATTTTTTATGAAGTAAAAGAAGGTTACAGCAGGATCGCCACTGGCTTCTATTCTGGGACATATCTCATAACGTCTCTAGACACTGTGTTGCACCATCTCTCGGACACCAACCAGGGAGTTGCGAGGGACCAACACAAGCCAGCCCTTGGCAGCTTTCTTTCATCCCACGACACCATGTCATATACTGACCACCTCTCCGCTTTTTCCAACCAGTTCCAGAGTCGGCAAATAATGCACGACGTGGAATTCTCTGGGACGACATTCGTAGAACATGTCCAAGTCACCGAAGTCGATGTTTCAAGATCATGACACTAATTGGATTATCGTCTCTGTGCCCGAATACACGATGCCGAACCTCTGCATTACTAACATGGTGTTGCCACTGGATGTCAGCAATCCTTCAGATAAAACGATGATCAAACCAGAGTCGTCTAAGATTCTCAAATCGGAGGACAGGTTTCACAAGCATACAGCAAAACTGATCTCACCGACGCGTTGTAGATCCGACCTTTTACAGCCAGACTAACATTACGAAGGTGCCAAAGATGTCCCAGATTGAAATAAGCCAATCTGGCTTTCACTATACGTGCATTGATCTCATCACTCACACCCCCACCAGCACTTATGAAACTACCCAGATACACGAACTTCTCGACTACTTCCATCTGCTCACCATCCAGGGTGAGTACAGGATTAGAATCCTGTTAGTCTTGCAGAAGTACTTTGCACTTCGAAGGTGCAAAGCACATACCGTACCTACGGACAGTGATTGCCAACTGGTTAAGTGCGGATTGCATGGCTGGAGCATTATCGCACAGTAAGACAATATCATCTGCCCATCGTCCAAGACGTCGATGGATGTTGGTGATTGGCATCCCGTCATCCTCGTAGATTTTTTCGCCCACACCAGACTTCTTGCTGCCAGTGGCTCGGATGAGTTGGAAGAGCTTCCGGTAGTTATCAGATGCGGCTGCTGCTTTAAACTCATTAGCGCGCTCCTACCACCAGGCTTCTCCGTCCTTACGCAAGCTTTGCTCGATTTCATTACGTAACAGTCGTCGTTCCTGGTCAATGAGTTGTAAGGAACCAGAAGAAACCCAGTGCTTATAAGCGGGACGTTTCACGAAGCAGCAAGCGGCTTAACTCGCCATTTTCATGGCGTCATGCAGTTGCAACCAATGCTCACCTATACTTTTCGGTGGAATGGTAGCTAGCCTAGAACCTAGCTCGGTTCGATACTTACTAGCAACAGAAGTTGCGAACAATTTGTTGACATCAATCAGTTGGTGGCGGTCACTTCGTTGTCCACTGAAAAGTAAGGCAAGATTGGCGCAGACCAAGGCATGGCCAGAGTCCAGATAGGTACTCCAAAAGGAGCGGCAGTCTTTTACACAACCACGCCAGCGGTAGCTGATCGCGATGTGATCAATCTGAGTCCAGGCTTAAGATGCAGATGGAGGACGCCAGGTGGCACATAGGCGAAAACTGTGCCGAAAGTTAGTGCTAGCCAGAAACAGGTTGTGGTCTGTGCACAGTTGCAGTAGACGGTCCCCGTTATCTGTCCAGCGACCAACAAGTCCCCATCGGCCACCTAAACGATTATCTTCTGTGCCTAGACACCCGACCTGAGCATTAAGGTCGCCGGCTAGTGCTACAATATCTGTCGAACGCACTTTCTGGAGAACAGTTAACTGGTGGTAGAATTCATTCTTGATTGCATCCGAGCTGCAATCTGTCGAGGCATAGGCGATGACGAAAAGACATCGTTTCTCACACAGATTACTTTTCACTTTAATGGAACTTTCTAACCTAAAACACATAGCCGACTGTTAATGGAGATCTAATCGATTACTGCTGCCTCTACTCTAGCGCTTAGTGCGACACCAACGCCAGCAACACCAGACGAAGATGCCACAGGGTCCCCGGATAAGCGCACGTAAGACAAGCTTTTTGAAGCGACAGATGGAGAGCGAATTTGTAGTACTTCACCAGAACCTTGAATACGAGTCTCGGATAGACAGCAAACATCGATATTAAGACTTTCTAAAGACATAGCCAGCCTTATCTGTTGTCCGACCTGCATAAGTGTGCGAACGTTGAAGGCAGCCAGTTTGAATGATGCACGTGGTTTCAGAAAAACTGCTTCAGTATTCGTATTTGGTGGTAGCATACGATTTTCAGGCAGTAACTCGAGAACATTTATATAGAACCGAGTTTCCATCATAGGCGAGCTTCTGTATAAGTCAAAAAATAAGGCTACATAAATTGCGAATAAAAGAGAGTGAGTAAATGACGTAGCAAATAATAATAACAATAATAATAATGTGATTTGTTTGACTGTAAATCGAAGCGAGAATAAAATTTTCAGTAAATATCGTCATTTTCATTTTATTTGTGTGTGGACTGTGATACTGCCCGGGTGCCCAGACCGAAGCAGGTGTTATAATGATGATTGAATAGAAACAATAAAGTATACAGCGCTAAAGTAGATATGAAAAGGATCGCCCAGGACAGAGTTGGATAGAGAGTGCTGGTAGGCCGTCTATGCTCCTCCACGAAAAATAACAGGCGTAAGTAAGCTAAAGCGATTGAGTTTGAGACTGATCAACAAGAATCTTTTGAAAATTCTAAATGACTTTACTCAAAAAATAATCCAAAATGTGATTCAAAATAAACTATCCAATTGCATTACAAACAACCGATTGTTGTTCACTTTTGAGTACTGTCAATTGGCATTTAATAAAAGATGATTAGGGTTTCTTCTTACAAGTGGGTAAATTCTAAGTTTTTATGAGAGACTTCAACAATTAACACACTTTATTAGTATTTAACATCTTCCATTCATTAGTTGTCTACATAACATGAATCATACATGAAGATTAATAGATATCACAAACTATTGATCCCCTAAATAATAATTATTATTTTTACTGAGTCCCTAATGAAATAAAGCCTATGTTTAATAGTATAATTGGATTTTGAAACCTAAATATAAGAGAAATAACAATTTTACCTTTCCACATATCTGACATTCGAACTTTTCAGGACCAAGTTGTAAATGTTCTACTCGAATATGACGTTTCATAGCCAATTTGCTCTTGAATGTTGTTTGACAATCAGTACACTGATAAATACGAGTACGAAAGTGTTTTTGTCTATGTTGAGCATAACATCTTAGGTTAGCGCATACTTTATGACATATTTCACATTTGACAGCTCCACTGTGCATTTCCTTTACATGACGTCGAAGTTCTGTTTCTAGACGGAAACGTCGTTGACACATGAAGCATTCATGAGCTAGTTCCTAGAAAAATGTTCAATATTTTATGCAATTTATTTCCATGACACTATTTGGTAAAAATCAAAATAGTTAGAAATACAAATAACGAACAACGAGAATTGTTTCTATTGAAAAGCAATATTATCTGTTAGGTCAAAAATAGTCGAATATAATTCATCAAATGTAGATATTTATCATCATTATTCGAACGTACAACCTTTGTAAACACTAACTTCCAATATTGCAGTGAATCATATTTCAAAAAGAAAGGATTTAGTGTTATCTGTAGATATCTGAATGACATCCTTAAACGTGACTTTAGTATTTTTTTCTCACTATCAAATACTTGGGTTAGCAATTACTTAATTTACGACTGGATCTTAGTTAGATAACCAGTGAAAACCAGGGAGCACTAGACAACTGTTCTGTCCTAATTTTGAACTACTGAGACGTGTGTACTCACGACCTCAAAGAAAGTCGAACACAAGGTACAGCGGTGAGAACCTAACCTTCAGACCGCTGAACTAAGTACCACTTTAGGACGAAACAGCTATCCAGTGCATCCTGACTTTTAGTGGTTATCTAACTGGTATCAATATTATATAAACTACGAAATTTAACAATCACTATAACACTATAAGTTTGAAAACTGGTAGACGACCTGGAAATACTTGACATTAGACGCAGATAACCAAGTAATTGTTCGCCTCACGTTTATGGACCATGCTTGGAAATACTAAGATAGTGGTAGTTAAAGTCGAACTAGCAAAGTGGTAACGTCAAGTGTGAAATAAATGATTTTAAGCTACTAGTAGTTTACAGGTTCGACACCCATCTCACAAAGACAGATATGATTATGCATAACCTTGCAGTACTATAATAATTGACTAAAAATAAAATGACGGTAAAAAAACAGGACGGGAATAATTAATGAACCATAAAATTTCCGAAACACAAAGGCAGATACAGACTAATTCAACATTGCACATCGTCTGATTGCTCTACACAGCATAGAAGAGGTATAATCACTGAAGCGTTTTGCATAATTAGCCACTAATAAGCTTTTTGGAGGAAATACCTGTGCTTGAGGCAAAAACGAATAAGGACTGATGGAAATTGACGATATCTTCTAGTCTGAGAGATATTAACTGAAACATGTATATTCATGTTACATAACCCTTTAGAAGTTTTGTTCTAGAAATCTACAAAACTCTCATTAATGATGGTCTACACACTAAGAAATGGCATCTTTTATCTCCCAGTAGGCTTCATGAATTTATAATATATTAAATACGGAGTATCGAATAAAGCGATTAAAATAATCAACCTGATCTTTGTAGATTTTTCTATGTTTACAGAAATGATTTGTTGTTCAACTAAGAATGAATAGCATGTTGTTGCTTACTGATAGCTGACATAAGGTGTAAGGTTTACATGACTATTCTGCTTATATACATCAGTGTGTATGAATCGTGACATGGAAATTAACATCACGTAGAAAAGATTGCTAGAAAGATACAATGAATCTACATCTGTCAGTGAGAGTACTTCATCAGCCAGGAAATAAACTTCAAATAACACTTTGTCTACTTGACTGAATAAGAATAAACTGTTTTATAAGAATGAAAAAAGTAATTTCTTCATTTGAAACAAAAGTTTCATTTTCTTACTCAATATTAAGACATTGAAGACAGTAAGGGATGTATTGTTAGTGATGTCAATTGGTTTAATAAAATGTGAAAGTGACCTTACCTGATTATGCATACGGAAGATATGATATCTTAACGACGATCGTTTAGGATAAATCAAGCCACAGTATTCGCAAGTTGCTGGCCCTTGATCATCCCCATGATGACAACGCATATGATGAAGGAGAGAAGGTCTTAACCGAAATGCCCGTCCACATTCCATGCATCTGTGTGAATAACCTTCATTATGTTTATCCATATGAGCACGCCATACTCTTTTATCAGTGAATCTCTCGTAACAGTGGATACATTCATATATAGACGGGCAAGGATCATCATGTACTTCACGAGAATGTCTTAACAAGCCTTTATTGAAACCCCAAAATTCACAATGTGTACAACGAAATATTGTCTGAACACCGGCATTGGCAAATTCTCCGGTGGGAAAATGTATTTCACCAAGATGAGCAGAAAGATCCTCTGGAGATTCAAAAACATCAGCGCAAATACGACAAATATCCTCAAGAGTGGTATTGATATTGTGTTTTTCACTAAGATGTTGTACGTAATCTTTTCCACTGCAACGAACAACAAATCCGCATAGTTTACATTTCATTTTACGAATACCGAGAGAAGAAAGATCTTCTTTATCGACACGTTGTCGAAGATGTCGTGTTTGGGTGAGCATATGAAGCATATTTTCCGACACTCCGTCACCTGGATGTACTACTCCGTGTTCTGCCCACTGATGAAAATAATAGTTAAACTTCGTTCCATAAAACTCTGTACAGATGTCACATGTCATCAGTTTATTTGCTGATTTTTTATTTATACCGTCCTTGAGATTTACTTCTTTATCTGGATCACTTTTCAATAGTTCAGCCTCCTCATTCTCAAATTCTTCCAAAGCATTTGGTGCATCTGTTTTTATGTGTGTATGATAATGATCAGACAATTCTTCCATTGACCGAAGGATGTTATTACACAAAATACATTGAAGGTGATAAACAGTGAAGTGTCGAAGTATTTTATCACGTGAATTGACTTGGGTTCCACAGATACCACAAACACATGCATCATCTTTGGAGTCTGATGTCACTTCATCAGCATTCGGACCAGAAGCTTCTACAGTTGCATCATCTCCAGACCTGGTGTATGAATCATCTGCTAGGATTGGCTTTGGAACACCACTGCCGATTCGAGATAAAGGAGTACGAAGAGAGAAACTAACACCATCACAAAAGTCTAAATGTTGTGCAAGTACTTCTGCTGATGGGAAATAATCACTACATTTTTCGCATTGTGGAGCTTCCATTCGACCAATTAAAAGATTTGTGTTGAATACGTTTGCAAGTCCAGCGAGTAAACCACTACCTGGGACAGTGTCCTGTTCAACTAGTTCATCATCTTCTTCTTCTTGGTCACTTCCTGAATCATTTTGATTAACTGGATTCGGACGTAAAAGAACAGATAAAGGGCCTGAACGTGGGCATGCGTGGTGTTCATTCATATGAACCTGCCATGATCGCCGATCAAGGAACGAAACATTATGAACTCCACAACGGAACCTAGAGAGACCTAAATGTCTCATTTCATGATCCAACAAACCGTTTGGTGAACGCAGTTCTTTAGCACATAAACAACAAACACCCCAGTGTTCAGGAAGAGGAACTGGTGATGGCGGAGGAGCATGAGGATTTGCAGCAGCTTCAGCATAAGCTGCAGCCTCTGCTGCCTCAATATGCTGTCTAGCTAAAATCTCTGGCATATATTTTTGTGCCATACGTAAAACAACATCGTACAAACTAACTGAGACAGGCAATTCGAAAAACAGACTGCACAAATGATCGGTGAAACCAGAAACAACACTACATAATTTGGTTTGTTCATAATGAGGATAATAAAATGCTGGTAAAACAGTTGAACTGTTAGTCTCATCATTCACTATCCGAACGTTAGACGGACAAGACTTGTGAGCTGCAGAGATAGACTGTGCACAAAGTGATGGATTTCCTGTATGAGGATATATGGAATCATAGCGAGCGGGAACAATCTCAATAATACGGCGAATAACACGTTGATCATCGATTTGTAAACCATACAACAAACCGTTTATAGCAACCAAACGATATTCAGCAGAAGTTGGCTTAAATGATGACTCATATGACTTTAACTCTGAAGGAGTGATTTGATCGAAATTGACAGAAGCAGCTTCACCATGGGGGTGTAAACCAAGTTTATCATCTGCTACCTGGAGAGTAAGGCGAACAGGTGAATCAAATGCAATCGCAAGTGGAACACGCCTTTGGCGATCAAGTATGACAAATTTTGTACAGTGAATTACAGCTGCAGGACCAGTTGATGTCAATGGAAGAGTTGTAGTGTCTGGTCTCGACGAAGCAACAACAGCTGCAGCAGCAGCAGCTGTACTACTAGAACTGGCCAATTCACGTAGCATAACTTTCCGTAAAGTATCAAATAAAAGATCAGGAACTACTAACAAAGATTTATCTTCAAGTATATCTTCTGGATCAACTGTATGTACACCATCAAGTGCTATAGATAATTCTGGCATAAATCCATGTTTTTCTAGACAAAACTTTGATTCATCAACAACAGAATAAACAAAGAAATTATCATTTTCAACAGCATTTTCAGATGGATGACAACTAACAGGATGCGCAACTAATAGTAAAGTATCTCGACGTCCATTTGGTTTAACAATAAATGCATCTATAAAACGTACTGGTCCAAGTGGAGAAGACTCTTGCCTGTTTCCACGTTTTGCTAGTGAACTATAATCTTTAGGATCAGATTTTAAAACAACCCAATCAATAATGTTATCTAACACTTCACGAACTTGTTCCTCTCTAGTTTGACGATTTGCTTCTTCTGTACCATATTGGTCTACTGAAAAAGAAGTTTTGTCCGATAATGAAGTTATGTTAATTAGATCGATAGGAGCTTTTGGTCTGTTATGTGGAATTTCAGTACTATTCCATGTGTCTAAAATTGCTATCCCAATCAACTGACCTTCTTTATTAATAGCTAAAACAATTCTTTGTAAATTCGGTGGTTCAAGTGGACTAATATCTATATCAGCTTCCTCATCTTGTTGATGTACTCTGGCAAGAGCTAATTCATAAATTCGCTCTGGAGGCAATGCAACTAGTTCAGTTAATCTTTGATACAAATCCGATGGGACAATTAATTGATGAATATCTGGCATGTATCTTCCAAGATTACCAGCACCAGTAATAAAATTATACTGGGTATTTGATACACCAAAATCACTTGCGACAGAACTACGAATTGCTAGTAAATTTGTCTCTTGATTAAGAATATAAGCTGGTTTAATAATTAGTTCTTCATCAATATCTTTACTAAGTGTTTCAAGATGTTGACTTATTGGTGTCATATGAGCGACACCAAACAATGGTTGATGAATTATAGGTATTAAATAAACAATACGATGTTGTAATTGATCATATGGACGTGCGACAAATGCATGCAATAGTTCAACTACTTTATCATGATCATTAATACGACTCATGAGACTTTGTAAACTGGCAGATGCACCATAAAATAAATTAGCATGTTGATTACTAGGTTTACAGATTTCCGCTAAAAATTTATCGAAACTAGCATTTAAAACATTTGATTTCAAGAAACTTGAATAAGCATCTAAATCTGCGCGTGTTTTAAGAGCAGCTGCAAGAGCACTATAAATATTCGATCCCCAACTAGTTCCTTTTCCAGAAGCTGTTCTACGTGTTGACCGACTAGCTGACGTTACATTCATACCACGATTGACAGCACTTGTTGGTATCTTTTTCTTTAATGAAGTAACACGTTTATCTGAAATAATGCTTTGTGCATCGAAATCATAAATATCTCTTTGTATATGATTGCTTTCATCTTCAAATAACTGTATTGGCATACCACCATTAACACCAGAATGATCCAGTAAAATAGAATCTCCCAGTTCTTCATCATCCTCATCTTCCTCTTCTGATTCGGACTCTCCAGCTTCGTCTTCGTCAGTGGATCCACCTTCTTCCACGTCACTACTGACTGTCAACTGGGCCTTTGAACTTCGGCGTGTGCGTGAAGAAACTCCCTTACGAGACTTTGATATTTTTGACAATTTATTAAGAGTTTCTTCATCAGATGGAGCATATTCGCTGTCTTCATCCCCAATATCAACGTTTTCATCCGAATCGTGTTCATCATCATCCGCAAGAAACATATCAGAATAAGAATAAGTTTCTTTTGTTGATGCGTTGGATACTTTGGCTTTTGGTGTAGACTTAGCAACTACGGCAGAAGTTGAAGAACGTGTACAACGACCACTACTACGAGTCTTTTCAGGTACGGTTTTGGAACGTTCATTTTTCTTACGTTTCAAAGCAGAAGCATCTGCCGGTTGGGAAGATTCATTACCTTTGGCATGTGACTTCCTTTTAGATGTACGGTCTTTAGATTTTCGACTTCGGCTAGATCTACTATTTGATGCTTTCTGCTTCCGACCATGGGCTGATACTTGGTTAGGAGTACTGGATTTTGTATTTCCTCGATCTTCTTGTTTCATTTATTCAGTTTAATTGGACCTAAAAAATTATGGAGTTAGTGAGAAACGGATGGAAAAACTAAAGCACGTTGATAAACAAGTTGCTTACCGATTATGCTGTTCAAACAAAGTACCGACTAAACGTTAAAGGTTAATTTAAAACTGTAGCTGTCATTTAAAAGATAACTTTTACATTTCTGAATCTCTGAGCACAGAACGTTTAAGGGGTGTATACAGTACATATACGTAATGGTTAATGATGTGTTTACAGCTTCTTTATATATATTCCACCCAATCGTTTAAAACGCTTTATGCTTATTCTTAATAACTGATTCGATTATTTTGAAGTATTTCGTCAACAGAGCGGTGACTTAATAGCCATTGTTAGACTTTCAACAAATCAGTCGCAGGTGCAAACCCGCTTCACTGTGATTGAGACACTCGAGTGGTATAACTTGCCCTCAAAGCCCAGTACAACAATTAGTAATTGATAGATGAGTTTTATCAAGTAGGACATATGTAAAATAAGTATCCAGTAAATATCTTTAAAGACCTAAATACTGTGCTTTATTATTATAGCTATTCAAATAGCCTTGATACTGACGTCCTAACTATTAAAGCTCAAAGCTACATCAAATTTAGACCCACCCCCAATAATAAACAACCGACAACCTATTGCAAAAGTAGATGTCAAATCATTCGGTCAGTCTTACTTAACGTAGAACCTAGCACATACGTACGTCGGTTCAAGTTGCTGCATCTCATTAGCACAGCGAGATGAAACTATCAGATCGAATACCAGTAGTAAATGTGGTAATAGTATCAATGGTCTTAGGAAGTATTAGGCATCAAAAATACGATTGCAGAAAGAATATGTATTAGTGGAACGAAACAATGTAGAAGGTAATCTATAAACCTAACCCTAAACCTAAAGGAATTTATTTAATCTGATTGGCGTTTTTCTAGCAAGACATTTTTTACGGGGTGAGGTTGCCGAACCGATGCCCAACCCTCCTTTACCCGAAATTGGGACCGGCAGTAACTCTAGAAGAGCTACAGGTGGAGTAAAAAGAGTAACAGCCTAGTATGGAAGAGGATAAACCAGCTTCTAGCTGGAGAGGAAATTAGGAAAAGACGTTGGAACTGGATAGGACATACATTACGAAATCACCAAACTGCATCACAAGACAAGCTCTTACTTGGAATGCCGAAGGGAAACAGAAAAGAGGAAGGCTGAAGAACACACTACGTCGGGAATTGCAAGCAGACATAAAATGGATAAAATAGCAACTGGAAAGGATTACCTAGGATGGAGAGTGCTAGTGGGCGGCCTATTCTCCTCCACGAGGGGTAACGGGTGTAAGTAAACCTAAGGGAAAACGAAGAGTGAATGTAACTGAGTCATTGTTAACGATTCTAAACAATATCATCCGGTCTCTAACTATTAGTTACGGTAACCCCACGGATCTCAACCAGTTAGTTTGCACCTACTTACATAGCTATGTCTAATGGTCAGTGTCTGAATGGACTGATGCCATGTCTTGGTATGGCCGCCCTTAATTTTATTTCGGCCTACCATCACACCAGTCATTGCGCGTCGAGGTAGTCAGTGGATCGATATACGTAATACATATCCTAAACATCTCAGTCGATATACATTCGCAACCTTGTCAATCGATTTGCCATTTTTGTCTAATATTCTGCGTCCAATTTTAGAATTTTTAACTCAATGTGTGTACTAGAGTAATGAGCAACTTTTTCAGTTTTTTGACATATATTGATGCTTTTATATCACCGAATTTCTTGTCAAGAAATCTATATTCATAGAAGGATGAACTATATGAAGCTAAACACACATCAAAGCAAGTGTTACATTATGGTCAAGCGGTTCATTTATTTCTTATTTCATAATAAAATCACAAGTTTAAGTATTCCTCGACTTAACGTGTGAGAACTGAGCAGTACCACTAGGTTTCATAAAAAACCTTCAAAAATGACTGAAAGTTTAGAAAGAAAAACTGATAACTAGGTAGTAAGTTGTTATTAATGAAGCTTAAAAGTAATCACTTTGGTCTCTATGATCTACTACAAGACAGATCAATGACTTCATGGTTAACGTAATGCAACTCATGTATTATTTACAGATTTGCACATTCAGATAGGAGGTACTTTGTGAAGGCTAGCAATACTATCTGGCTTTTCAAACTGAAGTGGAGTGGTTTCGAGTCGTACTATATAGTGACCACTACATTACTAGTAAGAGTATGTTTTAAAACTATTACATCGTACGTTCGAATTTGCCCCAAGTTTTGAACAGTTATTAACCCTCAAACTCAAAATGTCGCTTAGAGATGAATAAATAAATTTTTATTAGATTACTGATTATAAGGTAGAAAATAAGCAACGGGGAAGGGATTCAAATTATTATTATTAAAATTACTAATTGAATTGTAACGCATAAATATGTAAAACAAAAAAACACTTTTCTTTGCAAAAAGATCTTTTTTCAGATACAGAACTGATCAGAAACATAGAGAACTCGGTAGCTCTATCAAATGTTAATTTCTAACCATACTTAAAGATACCACAGTCTAACTAACTGACAGTAAATCAGATTCCCTGGGAAAACAGCCTAACTATCACAAATCCTTTTTTATTACGATATCAACTCACTAGATAATCGGGTCTCTTTTCACTTGGGATTTCGGTCGCTACTAATATAAAATTTTGGAAAGCATAAAAAGCAACCTATTTACCTGCACTAAAGTAGTGTAAATAATGAAGTCAATTCGTTTCGTTGGAAAAGATAAACATTATGTCCTAATTTTCTAGGCGATCAGAACGAAGTACTATTACCTCCAGGATAGATGAAATTTTAGTAATCTATAAGAAAAAATTCAATATTCAAGGAATCAGGCTAGAGGAACTTATCATGGTCCTAATATCCACATCTCAAAACTAGAATATTCAACATTATGACTGTTATCCTAAGTAATAAGCAACCAGGTTTACTTTGAATTAACTCCGTCTCGATAGACTAATTTCCACTTACTACTAAGCATAGATCCTTAGTACATGACTGAAGTTGGAATTTCACCATTAGCCTTGGCACAGCAAATACGGTGGAACGCTACATGTAGGTCAAAAATCAGTGTATAAATATAATTCGGGCAGCTCGGCTACAATATGAGTATTTGGCCCAATCTGTAATGAAGTAGCCTAAGAGACTGGTTTTGTATATAAATTATAGAACAATAACGCACTATTGGATTCCCAACCTAATTAAAGTGAGTGGGTCTCAAATTATAGGGGAAAAACAGGACAAATCAAAGGCCATGACGAACTATTTTGACAATTTTTACTCAAGTCTCTTCTAGACTAAACCCAAATACAAAGTCACAAAATCGGCTGCTCATTGTGGACTTTGATTGAGATGACGTACTAAAGACTCGTAGCACTTTAGACACGGAAAATAAGCAGGACCTGACGAACATCATCCCAAAATACTGAGAAGTTGCACGATATATTGCTGCCTCATTGACAACGGCATTCAGTATGTCAATTGATCAGGGTGTCACCTATGGATTTAAAAGATGCAATCGACACTAATTTATTAAACAGGGCCAAGACAACTTCCATCAAACTACAGACTTGTCGACCTCACCGGTCGTAGTCAAAATACTGGAAGAAATATTAAACAAGACCATAATGACATTCGTGGAAAACAACTTGTTAAACAGAGAAAATCATGGTTTCAGTAAAGGATGATTTGGCACAACAAACTTCTTTACAGAAAGAGAGTGATGGACAGAGGTTAGAGATAATGGAAAATCAGTGGACGTTTTCCACCTAGACTTCGGCAAAATATTTGATAAGGTGCAGAAAAATAAATTACGAAGCTGGAGTATCTAAGAGTTGTCGGACATCTAAAAGGGATCGAGGGTTTCTTGGTAGGTTGTGGACAGAAAGAATAAACTCCAAGTGCTCCGCCTAGAGTCCAATACTTAGAGGAGTGCCCTAAGGCTCTGCTCTAGGTCCTCTAATTTCTATACTGTAAGAGGACTCTCAAGTATATTTGAGCCCTCGGTGCTACTATATGCTGATGTAAAAGTCTGGCGAGAAACAACAGAAGCCGCAGACGGATGTGCACTTCGAGCGAGCATAGATGTTTTGATTAGCTGGTCTGAAAAATGGCTGGTGCCTTTCAACGAGGCCAAGTGTGTCTACATGCTCATTGCAAATACAAATGCAATCAGGTGAAGCATAGAGGAAGAGTCAGCACACGTAGTTCAGTCTCACAATGACCTTGGGGTGAGTTATGATGTTAAGACCACTGCCCACTGCCGGGAAGTTGCAGCTAAGGGGTTTAGGACCCTATGAGCTTCAAGATGGACATTCACCGATTGAGATACAACTATGCTTACCACAATATACAAAACATTAGTGGGATCCAAACTCGAAAACTGCATCCTGTAAATGTAGATTGCTACTATAGGACTGGCACATATATGCATCGGTCCAAGCTGTCACACTTCATTAGCACAACAAGATGAACAACAAATTCATAGTAGTTAATATAATGTCAATATATCAAAGAAAAATTGCATATAAGGATATAGTACAGGAAGAGAGAATTAGTTCGCAGAAAGATACAGGGTAATTTTAATCTCACGGTTTAAGGGAGGGCCAAGAGTTTATACACCTACGCCATTGTGATAGACTCTGAGCAATATCACCCACAGTCTCCAATCATTGGTTAAGATCGTCGCGTCGACCACAACCAAGTAGTCTGCATCTACTAACATGGCTAAGACTAGAAGTTAGTGACTTCAAGCACTGATGCCACGTTTTGGTTTGGCCAACACTAACTTTCTTCCAACCATCCCCAAAACTAGTCAGCACTGCGAGTAATGGTAATCGGTGTCCAGGCCTACGTAATACGTGGCCCAACCATCTCAGTCCATGAATATTTACAGCCTCATCAACTGATTTACCATCATTCCTTAATAACCTGCGTCTAA